ATTTGTAAATTTCCATCTTCGTTTTCCATTTTTGTAGCTTCACAAGTATTGGTCTATTTACATTCGGCTTATATGTATCTATTCTTCTTATCTCAGATGCATCCATCTCTACATCAACGTTAACTCCCATTTTCGTCAGTATATTCTGATTTTTTTTGTTACTTTTTCCTCTTTTTCGTCGTTTTCATCAGTCACTCCTTGAAAAATAATGTTGTTTTTTCGGATTTCTTTTTCTAATAGTTCGAGTCTATTATCCTGCTCTTTAAATGACTCCTTTAACATTAGATTTTCTTTCCTTAGTGTAATCATAGCCTTTGTGTTTCTATCAAGTTTTTCCTCCACCACTGTTAATTTGCGATTAATTGCGGAGAACATTTTCCTGATTTCAGTCATTTCGCTCTCTTCTTAGTCATTCTTTACTACCATATATGACCCGTAAAAGTAAGTATGTTGGTTAAACCTTCTTGGACAAATCTAAATATTATAGTTACATTATTCGCCTGTTCTACCTCTTTAACAGCATTTAAATAAGAATCTGATACAAAATTTGCAGATAAAGTCCCAACTAATAAATTTGCTATAGGTATATCTGCCGCATACATCTGTTGTTTCGTCAACAACAAAGTAAATGAAGTTATTTTGCAAACGTGTCTTAATTTCAGCAACACTTTTGGTATAACATTTATCTACAGTTGTTTTCTCGAGAGTGCTTTCGTCTGGAATAATCCTTTTACAGCAGTTTTCCAAAAATGAATTAAATGTAGGGTTACATATTTTTTGGAATATGTTTCCTTTCCATTTTTGGCTGTATTAGCAGATGAAATTTCTCGTATTGATGTTTGAGTTACACTGGTTGAGTTTCTTTTTTCACAATTTCTTTTGTGAAGAGGGGTTCTGCAGTCTCGGTCTATAAGATGTTTTCTTTGTGCTCGAAATCTATAAAAAAAATGTAAAACAAATAGTTATTTATGTAAGAGATACCTATTATTGATATTGAATAACATGCAAAACATATTTTTTTATTTGGTTCTCTTAGACTTTAGTGCAGCAAAAATTTTTAAATATGCATAAAAATGCACTTAAAATAAAATATGCAATAAATGCAAAAAAATAGTAGGATAAAAATATCTTTTGTAGATTTATTGTTGTCAAAAATCTAATGCTCGCTTCTTGAATGCGACTTCCGGTGAAAATATAGGTTTTATAGGTACGTTTTCCTGTGTGTCAGAGTGCCAATGTCTTATTTCCCGACATTCTATTTTTATTTAGCTTTAAGAGCAACCAGCAACAGTGCATGCTTTTTGCACTTGCCCTGGCCACAATTTCGATCGGTTCCGTACACTTCCACGTTCCACCTGAATATAACCGAGCTCCTTTGTGCGTAAAATAGGCCCAGCACTAGCCCTAATCATAATCCCGTCGCCCTTCCCGACCCAGCAGATAATAATTATCTGCCCCGGTTGCGGTTCCATCGGCCCACCCCGACACAGATCTCCCAAGGAGGCGTAAATAACCCCACGAAATGCGTTGGGGGATTGCTCGGTGTCGCATTCGCGTGTGACAATTTGCGTTTTCCAGTGGAACTTTGTGTGTACACATACGTGTGCGTGAGTGCGTGATAGTCGCGTTATCCGGCGGTGTCACGTGGCTGCGAGACGCGACTCTCTTGCCGAACACATGCCGTTCATTTCTAATTACTTAAACTAACACCAATAGAAGGCACGAAACAAACAAACGATAAAGTTAATGAAGGGCTCCGTTGACGCCCGTCAATTTAGACCGTTTTTGTTCGGTTGTCGACGCGAAATTTAGACGCCGTCTGTCACGGCCGTTGCTGGCACGAAATGGGTATTTGAAAAGGAGCTAATTTTCATTAGACAACTGCGGCCATCAAAATAGGGTCGAATTAGGGGCTTTTCGGGGTATTTTTCATCGATAAAACATCAAGTAGCCATTTGGACAAATTTTGCGGCGGTGTTGTGAGGAGGGTTTTATTTGGGGTTGTCCGATAAAATATACAGTATGTAATTTTATTACTGGCGATACGCATTTTTCTCGACGAGTTAAATAAAATAGGATGAAAAAAAAAGTCCTCCCCGGCGGGGAATCGAACCCCGGTCTCCCGCGTGACAGGCGGGGATACTGACCACTATACTACCGAGGACTGTTGCATCTTGGAGGATACAGTTGCGAATTTAAACGCCATAAGTTACTAAAAATTCTATTTTATTGTTTATCAATGCCTAATTTTATATTAAGAGTAAACAAATTACTTGTAAATTATGCTTCTTAAAATTAATTTAATTAATTAAACGGCAAATGAATTTTAACATCGTAACGAATACTTTTTCATTTAACAAACAGTAGGTAGCCAAGTATGACGTTGGCGATAAAATTAAATAATGAATTTATTTGTAGACCTGAAAGTTATAGAAATGTTTTGTTAAGTTTAGAAATACAATCAGCCTAAAATAACTGGAAAAAATTATCACTATCAAGTGCTCCGAAAAAAGTACCTAATCTCCAATTTTTTTGTGTAATCCCCATTACTTTGACGTTAATTTCACTAACTTATAGGGTGAGTCACTAAGTGCGTGGTCCTCAATATCTCATTAATTACTACATACAGAAAAAAGCCAAAGACTAACATTATATAGTTCTAAAATTATGTTCAACTATAGACAGAAATAGATTATCAACTTTAGTTGCAGAAAATACTTATAGAGTGTTAATGTTGTTAATATTTGAAAATTGCAATGCTCGTATTTTGGAAGTTTTATAAAAAATCCATATATGTAACAAAATCCAATTTGAATTACAAAAAAAAAAAACAACTGCGTGATTTTCACAACATATCTGAAACAGATTTTAAAAATAACCCTATTGTGATTTTTCTGCGAAATACTGAAATGCCAAAATTCAAGAAAATTGGTGATCTGGCAATGTCATAGTTTCAAAAATAAACAAAGGTTTTAAAGCCTAGGAAGAAGCCAATGGAAATGTGTAAAAACATACAGGATGTTCTAGTGTAGCAAACTAAGTTGTGTGTTGTAAACATTTCTTGGTGGACGCAAAAAATATTACTACACATAGTAAGTGTTCCCATATTTTGTTTTACAAGCAAAATCTGTCTTATTACTTAATGTATTGGCATGTGGTAAATATCAGGTTAAATGACAAATTGAGTCTAATATATCTGTAAAATATCAAAATCACACTAATGTAATTTTTTTAAATGATAAAAATCGAAAAAATATGTATTTTTTCATATGTAAATTTCATTATTTATTGATGACACATGATTTTCATATGAGCATGATCGGATGAAACTGTATATCAAAAATTGTCGAAAATTAAAAATATATCCATATCACAAAGAGTAATATGTTTTCCATGAGTGCGTAAGGGCTTTACAACTCGAATTATGTACTATACTTTTTCTACGAGCACAGACAAAGAAAAAAATATTTTCTATCATTTTATTCATGAACATTAACATTTTAGTTTTATTAGATATTGTAATTATTTGTAGTAATTGTTTATTGTCACTGAACAGTTGTTAAACACAAGGGAATGGTCGGTAGTATTAGTTTTGTGGCTACTACAGGATGCAGTCACATTATGTTCTGAAATAGTGACATGATTATTTGATGTAGTAGGACTGTTGTTTATCGCAGATGCGATTTTTAGTGAATTGTCGGTTTTATTTTTCACTGAATTATCTACATAGCCTTCAGCTACCGAGGACGACCGCCATCCACCATGCCTTTTTAATGCTAGTAAATCACCACCAGCATCAACTAGGATGGTGGCAGACGATCGCCTGAAACAATGACCAGTGTATTGTTTTGGATCTGGTAAACCAAGATATTCTGCTATATTTTTTGGTACACTACCAATCTTATTTATGCCGACACACTGCTTGGTGCATTTTTGGTTTATGTAATTTAAAAAAAAAGGTCGTGATTTTGTATCATCTCCTGAAGGACGTAAGTTCATATACTTCTTACAAGTTGGATAAAAAGTTTTAGGTACAACAAAAGAACGTTGAGTTTTTGTTTTTGAATCAGGAATGGTGATAATTAATGATTCTCCAGTATCTTGTACATGTTCAGGTTTAATATTTCGCAATTCCTGTTTTCTGCATGCACCACTAACCGCAATGATAAGAACCACCTAAAACAAAATGTTATATTTAGGAGGTTATAACATAGATGTGAGATACCTTCATAAATAGATATTGCGTATCTGGAGCATTTTGTAAAAAATCATTTATATTTTTGCTTGTTAAAGTTTTTGACTTTTTGCTCTTAAAGCCATCTGCTTTTCTTTTTAGTAGAGCTATTAATTTAGGATAAGTGGCAATGTTGATTTTGTCATGTTTTATGTTTATTGTAGCCCTTAACATTGAATATATCGCCCAAAGAGAAGATGGTTTCATTGTAGTTGACAACTCTTCAAAATATGCCAACATTACGTTTTCTGACAACGAATTTACTTTATTTTTTAATTTCCACTCCATAAATTTGTGGTAGACGGTTTCATACCTATCACGCGACTTTGCGGGCAATAGATTTTCGATAGCCGTTTTGGCCTTTTCAATTATTTCCGGCGGCGTGCACATTAATTCAACACTATCGCTAGACATTTTAGACTACAATTAAATAAAATCCGTAAAAAGAGAGAAATGTTGATATTTTTTGCAATAAATGTTACCTTGTTCGTTTTCTTGTTTTCAAATTCTTTGATTATGCCTCTTTTATTAACAGTAACGCTGACAGTGCTTCACAATTTTGTATTTGCCTGTCCGTCTTGTCATTTTCACTACCAACCTAAATTGAATAAATCGAAAAATCCGTGCATGTATGCGTGTCCTTACGCACAGCGTGCGTAAGAAAAGCAAATCGCACAGTTAGGGATTTTTCGATTTATTCAGTTTAGGTTGGTAGTGAAAATGACAAGACGGACAGGCAAATACAAAATTGTGAAGCACTTGTCAGCGTTACTGTTAATAAAAGAGGCATAATCAAAGAATTTTAAAAGAAGAAAACGAACAAGGTAACATTTACTGCAAAAAATATCAACATTTCTCTCTTTTTACGGATTCTATTTAATTGTAGTCTAAAATGTCTAGCGATAGTGATGAATTAATGTGCACGCCGCCGGAGATAATTGAAAAGGCCAAAACGGCTATCGACAATCTATTGCCCAGAAAGTCGCGTGAAAGATATGAAATCGTCTACCAAAAATTTATGGAATGGAAAATAAAAAATAAAGTAAATTCGTTGTCAGAAAACGTAATGTTGGCATATTTTGAAGAGTTGTCAATTACGATGAAACCATGTCACTATTTCAGAACATAATGTGACTGCATCCTGTAGTCAGAGTACAAGTAGCCACAAAACTAATACTACCGACCATTCCCTTGTGTTTAACAACTGTACAGTGACAATAAACAATTACTACAAATAATTACAATATCTAATAAAACTAAAATGTTAATGTTTATGAATAAAATGATTTTGTCTGTGCTCGTAGAAAAAGTATAGTACATAATTCGAGTTGTAAAGCCCTTACGCACTCATGGAAATACGCACTCGCCGCTTCGCAGCTCGTGCGCAACTTTTTCCATTCGTGCGTAAGATGCTTCTTACAACTCTCATTACGTAATATACTATTTTTATACTTGTTGCATCTAATTTTGTCTCTCTGTTGACATTTTTATTACACAAATAATAATTTTCTGAACTACGTAACCGATTGTTTTGAAATTTTATTTTTAATTTTACATTTTTCTATAGACGATGAAAGGCTAACCAAAATTTATCTAACCATAATCCCCAAAAATTGATGACATCATCTTAAAATTTCATTAAGTTAGTTTCAGTTTGAAATTGATAGTTAAACTTGTTTTTTTTTTTTTGTATCTGGTTGAATAATGTATGTACTCGTATTTTTAACCTTGGCCATATGGTGGTGTTTTAGAGACGAAGAAGGTTCAGTAACCTTACACATTTTTTAAAAATTAGGAAGACGTTGAGATTGCTGACGTGCAAATTTTCTGAGATTTGAAAAAAAAATTAAAATATATCAATATGTCAGCATGCAACTTTGTTCACATTTATTTAAAGCACAATTAGACACCCCGTATTTAATTATTTAATTTAATTTTTTTACTAAAATTATGTAAAATATAATGCCACTTCAGGTTAATTTAGGAAGTAATTTAAAGCTTTTCGAAAATAATAAGGCAACAAAGGATGTGGTCAAACCTAAATAAAGAAAGTATCCGGACAACTTTCACGGAGGAAATAAATGATTTGAACTGCGAATAACAATAATCAATTTATAACATTTACTACTAATTTATTTACTATCTAGACAGGATTTCAAAGAATCGTGTGGCAAATGAAAGCGGAACATCCATTGTAATAAAATCGTAAAATTTAATGGCCCGCAGAATAGAATTAATATCCGAAACGGTGTAGGACTCTATTATTAAATATTTGCAGACTACTGATTTATGATCTAGATGTTAAATAGTTTAAAGGTAATTAGATATTAAATCAAACAACACAATTGAATTAATATTACTCAACCATTAGTAAGTCGAAATGTCAAAAATTATAATACAATAACATACTTGTAATAGAATTTAAAATTCTGACTAAAAAGTGTGTGATTCATCTCTGCCGTAGTACTCCTTCAGTTTAAAAATCCAAAACAAGAGATCACGTTGTACTGTTCTACAATAGCACTCTTTTGCTTTGAAATAAATTAGACAGCTTGCATTTACTTGATCTTAACGATCTTGTCCGATGTCTTTGGATAATTAATCATTATCTTATAGACTTGTTATTTTACGATCACGATCAATCACAATGACTTGTTAAAATATTTTTAAACGAACATTAAAGCGGGTAATTATTGTGGGTAATTTGGCAATTAGTCGGTAAATGTGCTAAATATCGAGCTGCCAAATTATTTGTGTAGTACGGAAGGTTGTAATTAATATAATGCAGGTGCATGTCCAACGGCCCACCGAGCTCATTATTATGTGTTAAATTCATCACTCAAAGAATTCAAGATCGATATCAGTTGTTATGAGTGAACGAGGGAATGTGCTAATGACATCGGAACTTTAAATTTTTAAGTTCTTTTCCTTCTTTCTGTGGTTTGTCAGCTTTCGAACAGGTTTTTTAAATGGATGATGTACTGAAATGAGGAATCAACAAATTCAGGATTTAGTTGCTTGTGGTATTAGTGGATGCGTAAATTCGTCAACAGAAATCGTGCAACTTCTGCAGTGCGTTTCCTTTCGTTACCCTCCGAATTTCAACCCGTAATTGATTTTCTCAGACAAATAGCTTTAAATCTCGAGTCACGATGTGCTTCCTGCTGGTCATAACAGTGAGCTCGTGGGTTGATAAAACAAATCTCAATTCCTAAGTCTCATCCGCAGCCATGAAGGGCTATCTGCCAGCCGCAGCTTCCTATCTGGGCCATAGACGCTGAAGATGAGTTCGGAATCAATGACGTCGCCTTCAATTACCGGCAGGCGTGTCACTTCCGTCACCCCCAGGAGAGATATCCGGAAGGCAAACGGAAGTCACGGCTGTCTTATACGAGGAAGCGATGTTGTGCTCCCGTAAAGGCACTTTACTTAAAACACATAGTCGAAACCTGATGTTATGAAAATGTTCCGATAAAAATTTCATTAAGTCGGTCAAATTCCGACCGCCACTATTTTCCCAGGTGAACGAGGAAAACATGTTCGTGCCCTAACAGGCAAGTTTGCTACACAGGGAGTTACAGTAGACGTGTTAGGAAAAGTTGTGTGCATGTATATACGCTCAGGCTCTTAACTCAAAGTGATAAATATCTGTTAGAAGAACAGCTGTTTCATAAAAGGGAATAAATTGCGAGAAAGGTGCATCCACAACACTTTGAGGGAATAGATGGAATCTGCTCAGTGGGGACTGACGGCTTCCTATTCTACGAAAACAATGTTTTGACTAAACCGAACCTGGTGCTCTTATCGCAGTTTCTATTTAAAGCGGACGAAATTGTTTCCTCCACGTTTATTTTTACAAGAATGCAGTTGCTACACTTTTCAGAAGTAATAACAATCTTTGATCTTCAACACAACATGAAACCAATAATAAAAAAAAGCAAAAGAAAATAATGGACAATTTAATAGTATTATAAAAGATTAAAAATACTGACACCCATCAACATGTACGAGTATTCTAATTAAAAATTAATGCTTTTATGCATAAGTTTGTTCAAGCTGAGTATAGAGTACGTCGGAGGCGTATTTTATCGCAGACGTGATTAAGCTTGAAATATGCATTAATCCTTCTTCATTAATTCTCCTACAATATACTGTTCTAACAAAATGTAGACAAAACTGACAACAATAACTATGGGTTTAAGAATGAATATCTAGGGTGTCGGTTTACACCTACCCTGAAAACACGCGTTAGTGAAATTAAAAAAGTAAAAACGACTAAATGTAAAAAAATATTACAGCTAGAATAACTCATTTAAAGTAGGTATGTTTAAAATATATATTAAAGTTTTAAACAGGAAATCGATACATTTGTTCAGGAGCTTCAGCTTAAGTGATTTAACTTTTATTTTCTGAACATAAAATTATTTTTTGGAAATTTTAGCAGTGCGTTTTGTAAAATTATAAAAACAACGGAGAACGATTTCCAGGACAGGGCTATAAGAATATGCCTAAATTCTTTTTTCGTAATTACATCTATCAAGAAGGGGTTCAGCGAATTCATTAGTTATATTTGTAATATTATTTGCTACACTTTGTAGGCTATTCCTGATGAGAAATGCTTATTGATTATCAATAATTATGACAATTAAATTTCACCTTTGGCTATAGATATATGCAGCGACAATGTTGTTGCAGTAAGTGATAACATTGCCATTAGACATCATTTACATCCATTAGATGTAACTACATAGATTTCCTTGAAACGCTGCTACAATGAAGTGTTTTGTGGTAAATAAATCGCGCACAATATTGTTCCGGAAAATATTTTAGAAATTGTGTCATATATATGTACTTATATATTTGACTTTTGTGTATGAAAATATCATTACTATTGTTAGTTTGTCGCTATTGCGGTTTTTCTTCACAGTCCTTGTATTTATCGATACTAATTTAAACAGCATCATCAGAGTACCGAAAATATATTTCGCCCTAGTAAAGCAGCAATTAATAATAAATAATTCCACAAGAATTTCGATTACACCTAATGGCAAAATTTGAGCAAAAAACTGTATTAATAATAATAATAATAACTTTCTTGCCCAACAGTTTCCCATTAACAGGACAAAATACATAGTTGCGTACATGTACAATAAAATAAAATTCAATGAAATTAACTTAAATTAAATTAAATTACAATAATAGAAGAAAATAAACCTAAATACTTACAAAAACATAAATTAGAAAGTTATTGGTTTGATCCCACTAGCAAAAATATCATCATATAACTTATTAGCACAACGATACAGGTTAGTTATTGGAGATTTTTTTAACATGTTATAGTATTGGATTTAGTTAAATAAAATGTCACCCTATGACGATTATTCAGACGTGGCACATAGAAACTGATCATCGCTAGGATCTGAAGACAATCAACTCTATTATGTACAATTTTCCAAAGAAATTTCCCAGAGTGTATATCTCTTCGCATTGTCAATGATTGAAACTTATACTGATCAAGAAGAGTCACATATTCCATAGTTCTTTGAGGATAATAACCATACAGTTTACAGACATAAACTTCAGAAATCGACGTTGAATACGCTCAATGATAAGTTCATATTCTAAATAAGTAATATGGTGACCATATTACCGCAACACAAGTATTGATTGTATATTGTATATTGATGTATTGATAGACACTGCATTTTTTTACACGGAACATTTAGAACAGATACAAAATTTATTTTAGGTAGCAGAGAGTTTATTGATGAGATCACTCATCTTATTAAGTAAGTTTTCTTTGTGTATTGTTATCATTACATAAAGTCTAGGAATTGCGGGCTTCATTGCTTGGAGTTGTTGTGCGCTGAAATCTTTTATTGTGTCTCCGAATTCTTTGATGATTTTCTCGACTTCTGTATTAATTGTGTTCATTGGATTTGTGTTCACTTTTGTATATTCTTGTTCTTCCAGAAACTTTTCTACTTTCTCTTTGTAAACTTATCTTTCTATTACAGCGATTGTGTTCCCTTTGTCCGTTTTCTCTATAACTAGATCTTTTTCTCTGATTTTATCCT